GTGGTGGTGGTGGTAGAGGTGTTGTTGTTGTTGTGTTGTTGTTTTTGTAATTGTTGTTGCTGTTGTTGTTTTATTATTATGTTTTAATAACGTTTTACGACACTTGCAAAACAATAGGTCATACACACGCCGAAGATTAGAGTTGTTACAAGAGAGTAACAAACACAAAAAGGGAAGTAGAGATATGGACGGAAGATGTTTGATATTAAAGAAGGATCAGGGTACACCAGAGCACCCGCCAACCACCCACTTTTGTCTGTTAGAGGAAGGTTGCATCTATCAGAAAAGAGTAAAGAGTGGCTCTGTCAATACTTAGACTTTGCTCAGTAGGAGATCATCTCTGCAGTACGTGTATCACTTGTCATGGAATGGCCCACCATTAACTAACAGTCACTATCATGTGTGTCACTTGTCATGGAATGGCCCACCATTAACTAACAGTCGCTATCATGTGTATCACTTGTCATGGAATGGCCCACCATTAACTAACAGTCGTTATCATGTTAATCACTTGTCATGGAATGGCCCAAAACTGACGCTGTCACGGATATACTACGTGATTCACTTGTCATGGAATGGCCTACCACTAATTAACAGTCTCACGGATATATATATCACATGTATCTCTTGTCATGGAATGACCCACTAACTGACGCTATCACAAGTATCACTTGTCATGGAATGGCCCACCATTAACTGACGCTATCACATGTATCACTTGTCATGGAATGACCCACCATTAACTAACAGTCTCAAGGATATATACTACATGGATCACATGTCATGGAATGGCCCACCACAAACTGACGGTCTCACGGTCATCATACTGCATATTATTGTATCTCCTTATCTGGACAACTGACAGGTCACGATAACTTTTTGTTGGGTTTGTGGGCGGTGGAGGGATGATGACGATGACACCGCAAAAAATGTATTGTCCATTGAGAGAAAATTATGACAATGACAATGACAATCTTTATTCACCTCTCACGGAGATATTTGCCGTTTACAATGGCAGAGGTGATCAAAGAGATTTGTCCATGAAAACGGTGAAAGTGGTGAAAATAGTATAGGTTTACCCCTCCCCCTCCCCCACTTATCAACACTATTATTTTAT